GGGGAGGGGCCCGTGGAGGGTTGGGGGTCAGGATTATCTGGGCTGTGTGCGTTGGATTTCGGATTTGGATGGCGCACGGCTTTCCTCCGGCCCTGCGCACACAGGACCAATAATCCCGGATTAATCCGTGGCGCATACACACCGACGCCTGGATCCACGTAAACGCACCAATATATTCATGGCTCCTCGGTCAAAATCCCACACATCGCCACCCTATGGTCCATGCATGGACGATACTTACGCAACGTGTGTGTAACGCTGGGAATGGTGGCAGGACGAGGCCGCCGCTAAAGGATTTGGCTACTCCGCGCTCCACCGACACATCGCAGCATCCTGGAAAGATAATCCCACGAATACAGAGCCCGGATAATCCTCGTGCTCTGCCCTCCGTGCGTCGGCGTCGGCGTCGGCGTCTACGTGTGGGACGCCATGAGCCCACGCACATGTACACACTTACCTTATACTCTCTGTGGAATACTGTAATGCTGGATACTGGCTCTCCTGCTCTCTCTCTCTCTCTCTCTCGCACTCTCTATACCACTAACACCAACGTCAGCATCGCCATTGGTGTACCAGCTACAAAGAGGGGGCACGGCAGAGCACACAAGGTTTAGAGGCTAAGCGGCTCATCCTGGGAAGCTTTGCATCTCACCCCGATACCTCGATACTCACCCTCGCCATTCCTACGATCGATATTAAAAACATCGACTTTGGCTTCTTCGATCGATTTGGGTTTGGATCAGCGATCGAGGGAGATTCGATATTTTTGAGATCAAAAAATATTTCGCGGATCCACTCGATTGGGTTGAGAAGAATTTTACTGTGTGGAAACATGTGGGTTGGGTTTGCAATTTGCTAAATTTGCCTTTCCTTTTTTTTTTTTTTTGTTAATTAGATAATTTTTTAATTTATTTCTGGTATCCTCGTGGAAAAAGGAAATATAGACAGGACGATCTTCCGTTTCTTAGTATCCTGGTGCGAATCCTTTGCGAAAGTATAAGAAGTCAAGTTAGGAATTGCCCGGGTGCTATATACCCGTAGTCCTGAGATTAAGCCGAAATCTTTCTGGGGATTCTCGGGAGTTTTACGTGCCAGGATAACAGGAGGAGGACGAAGGTCCTGGTCTGAGAATCTACAGACGCCTGGAATTCCCGGCTTGGCTTAGGAAGGACACAGTTTTGTTAGCTAGAAAGCAAGCCTGTTGCATTTCTGGGTAAAGCACTTATCCTGCCGGTAAAGCGACCCAGGACTATTCAAGGATCTCTTAATACCGATATATACATGCATTCAGAAGTAACCCGACCGCATCGATCCCTTCCCTTATCCCTAGATAAGGTTTGGGATAAAGAACGGATGGCGGAATCAGGCTAGCAGGACCAGGAGAAGGCGCCAGGACACGTCCCGCAGGATATAGCGGTCTGGCCTCCCCGGATCTTCAGACTTCTACGCTTTGAGCGGTTATTATCCTGTCCGTCCGGCTGCCTCGGCCACGCATCCTACGATCCTGGTTTTCAAGGGTCAAATCCTACCCTTTTTTTACCTTCGGCATGGGCTTTTTTTATTGAAAAAATTATACTAAGACACATTTTTTAAACTTTATCTTTCTCACCATGGTTACGCAAGTCCTTTGGTCGACTTGGCAAAGCACTGGCCAGCGGCCTTTGATGCTCCTGTGACTTGTTCCTTGAAAAATCCTTAATGTCCTTTTTAGGGGTCGACACACCCACGTGTACCAACCAGACCGTCTACGATCTTGCCAGTCAGGTCGAGGCGACCCTCGAAGCAAGGGTGGTGCGAGGGTGATAACGGTACAACAAGGGTGAAACGGGTTGGCGCATTGATAGCTGATAATTTGTAGGCCTACCAGACGTCTCCTCTACCAGGAGAACAGGTCCTGCAGGAGCGTGCCGAACTTCCTGCTCGTCTTTAGTATTCAGAGATATGCAAATGAGGTCCTTTGTTTGATACCTGCTGGCTTATTTTTGCAGCAAGGATAGCAGAAGGTAGACGAAGCTTCGAGTCAGACCCTCGAAATGCCTGATGACCCAAATAAGGGCTTTAGTAGGACCCCGGGCACCAGGAGAATAGAAGGCAGCCTGGTCCTTACGCATCCCTTACGCACTGTAAGCTATCCCCAAGGTCTTCCCATGCGTCGGGAACTCTTACGGAGCGCCTATGATATCCTGCTAGTTGTTTACGCACGTGGATTGTAAAAAAAATTTCATCGCTGTGCCAGACGCCCGAAAATATCCTGTCATCGGAATCAGAAGTACAAGAGGAA